TCTTCTATGTAAGCTTCATTCAGACCTTGACAGGAAGGGGTTAGGTCTGACCTTCATAAATCAAGTGCTTTGATTAAGCGAGGCTCAAACACTCAAGGTTGGATGGTAGCTTTGGTTCATTGAGTTTACATTGAGATAAAAAAAAAATCCCAATGAAGGTTTTTTGCCAAAAGTTAACTAAGCTCCTTACTTTATACCATGGATATAGCCAATCCTGTTTTCCTTTTTTTCAATTTAAACTGTGGTGCATTACTGTTTAGGCCATAAAATATTACTGAAACATTTCCAAGCTACCAAAAATAATGCTAATATCTTTTAAAAAAAATACTACTGCCTTCAATCTGAATTTTGCCAGGAAAATCGTGGACCTAAACTTTGAACTATTTCAACATGTCTGTTTGTTAGCTTGAGGCATCTAAAGGATGCATTAGACTGCAAGCATGCACTTCAAATTAAAACTGTAATTAAGTCTTTCTAACTGCTGAACTATACACCTATTGAGTTTTACATAAGCTTCAACTCAGACTATTTTTAACACATTTCTATATACTCAGTTAAACACAGGATCAAATAGGGAGCCATGGAGCAGCACACAAGACAGTAAATCAGCAAACCAAGCCAGCCCCATAGTCCTCAATCATGTTATCTCGACTCCTCAGCTCCTTAGCTTCATTTACCTCTATATAACATATTTATATTCATAAATCTGCTTAAGCAAATCAGACAGTTAGATGGACAAGAGGTAGCATTTGTATCCACAATTAACTACAGGAAGCAATTTTTTTGGCATGAATAAAATAGCACCTGCAAAAAATGGAGGATGCTTAACAAAAAATCAGGTCTATTGTGAGTACGAATGGCTAGTAAAGCATATCCTAGGTCTATGTATGCTCATTTCTTTCCCAGGGAGGAATTAACCCACTCCAGAAGCCCAATTCCTTTGACTGCTCAGAAGCCCTATTATTATTATTATGCTTTTTACTGAAAATTGAAGGAAAGTATCCTTATTATGCTTTTTACTGAAAATTGAAGGAAATTATTTATTAAGCATTTCAGCCTTTGCCTTGTCATCTGTTATTTGTTCTCCTTCCCTGTCAAGTAGCAGACCTACACTTCCATTTGCCGTACTTTTGCTTTTTGTGTGCTTAATACTTTTTCTTATTCCTTTTACAACCTTTGCTAATCAGTATCTCATTTTGTGCCTTTGCCATTCTCTCTCTGATTTTGTCCTTTCATGTCTTTACATTCCCCCTTTATTTATTCCCTGCTTTTTCTTTTAATCCATTTTATATGACTCCCTCTCCATTCACATGTCTGTTAAAAGCTAATGGTGCAACTAGAATACATTGATCTTTTACTTTTGATATTTTGCCTTTACGTCAGGGAGTGTCAGCTGTTGCACTTTAAATGTTATGTTCTTCAGAAACTTCCCACTATCTTGAACTGGCTTCTTCTTTAACTTTTATGACCTTGGGGACTTTAATCACAAACTAATTTAGGTATTTGGTTTCACACACTCTTCAGAAGAAGCCAATGACAGTCTGATTCCTCTCAGCCTCCTCAGCTCTTGGAAGGAGTTTGAGAAAAGATCACTGATGACTGAACTCTCATGCTTTCATGGAAATGTCTACACCACCTGGACAGCATACAACGTATACAGAACCTTGAAAATGTTACTTTTCATCAAAATATCAAAGAACCTGTGCTTACCAATCTCACTGTTGAATTGCTAATCAGCTGTGATGGAGATGACTGGTATTTCCTTCAATTATTTCCTCTGTGGCCAACCATAAATAGGAAAGAGGTACATTACGAATACAAAGATGCCTAAATGTCATTGTGTGAAAAGAAACATCCACTTTGACCAAGAGTAGCTGTCCAGTTACTGCATGAATTATGACTATATCACCTGAGGTGACCAAGTACAAGTTCAAAATGGAAATGCTACGGTGAAAATTATTCAACATACAGTCAAGTTAATAAACCCACTGAAGAACAGGATGTACTACCCCCCTAAGGAAGGCTATAGACCTGGTGCAGCTCTGTTGCACTAACAAAGTGGCAGAAGACATGAATCACATAGCTAAAATCATATCAGGAAACCTTATCATGCTAAGAAGCAAGAGAGGCAACATAAACCATGTCCCAAGACTCAAGGTCACTGCAAATTTGCCAGTGTCTCAGCAAACAGTAATGTTTAGAAGCACTACAAAACACAAAATTCAAGGTAAATAAGGTAATGGATGCTTAGCAATAAAGTTAACATTGTCCGCAGCTGTGTGTTTCAGAAACATGTTACTTCAAAAGGTATGCAGGCTTTGATGAAAATTGGAAAGATATGAATAATGCAGTAAGTAGGCAGCATAAAAGTGTAGCAAGGCGCTTGAAGCAGAGGCATGCTGCAGGATAGCAGCTAAAGAGATGTTTTTATAGAGATGTATGGAATTTAAAGCCAGAAGGGACCATAAGGGTCATTTAATTCGACCTCTTTTATAATACAGGTCAAAGAACTCCAGCCGGTAATTTCTGTTCCAAGGCCATATCTCATGGTTGAGATACAGAGTATTTTTTTAGAAAGGTATACAATCCCGGTTTAAAGAGTAAGGGCCAGATTCAGTTGGGTAACCTAGGCACCTAAATTTCAAACAGTAACCCAGTTTGACCCTGCACCAGCAGACACAAAGTTTGGTAGCTGCCCAGTGGCTCATCTTCAACAGGAGGTATATAGGGTACCCATTTCCTATGGGCTTTCTGGATTGCACTTCAGAAATGCCAAAATCTCCTGACTAAAAGGAACCTCAGTGTCTAGCCCTGGCCCCATTGGATCACCTCCTGGAGCAAGGTAGCTAGGTTCTAGGCATTCCAATGCCTAGTAGTAGAAACCTACATAACCAAACTAGATCTGGGTCTCACCTGCTGTAAAAGAGCTGAGTTTTTCAGACAAGATTTACTTTATAGTTGCTTTCAAGTAAGCTTCCTAAACACCCGAGTTCTCTTAAATTAAACGAAGCAGAGCCTCAAGTTGTGACCATGATTCTAAATGACCAGATTTATCCGATTCCAAGATGAGTCCCCTCTTACCCCCATTTAACATGGAGAAAAAAGCCCCTTGTCTTGGAATTGAGGACAAGGTGGGGTGGGGGGTGGAGGGGGAGAGGGCAGGCAGCTGCTGCAGCCATAGCCCTGGGTCTGGCCCTGGCTCCTACCCCAACCCCGCTGCTACAGGGCTGGGCTGGGACTGTGCTCTGTGCTCCAGGCTGGAGCCCACCGGTTTTGGAGCAAGGGTAGGTGGTGGGGGGAGAGGCAGGGGGGGACAGAGGCTGCAGGGGGTGAAAAGGCGAGGCTGCTTGGAGGAAGGCGAGGTGCAAAGGCTGGAGGGCGCAGGCACAAGGGACGGTAACAATTTCCCATTTGTAGTGTCGCTAAAGAAAGTTACAAATGATTGAATTTTAAATTAAAAGTAGCCTTTGTCTCATCTCTGTAGTACCTTTTAGTTGGAAAACTGTCTCATATAAAAGCATTGTACTAACTTGAGCAGTCCTGCCCGATGAAACACATAGAGCTCCTGGTCAAGAGTAGAGTTTCTGAAAGGAACAACTCGGACAAAATTCTGGATCAGCAGAAATTCTGGCACAAGATGAGGCACAGTGATGATGCAAAAATCTTTGTCCTGGAAAAATTTATAAAGAATACAAGTAATTAGTGATTTTAACAGCTGTGAAAAAGGTTTCCACTTAGGCTTAAGATTGACTTTTGTATATGTAGAGCCACATTTAAAATTTACCCATTTTGCTGGAACCACATAAATTACCCATATTGCTCTCACTTGGTGCATAGTGCCTGTTCTTCAAGTCATGGCTGAGCCATATATAGAATTTTATAAGCTATTACAAACTTCGATAACAGAAGAGAGACTTTCAGTTCAAGCTCATCATCCAGGCCTCCAAAACACCACTCTTCCCTTAGTGAGGAGAGGCTCTTACATTTTATCCTACTCTACCAACATAACACTTCCTCACTTTGCTTCATATCATCTAAATGGAAAGGATGCTGTGCAGTTGGTTAGAGATAGGTTGGGGCATTGCTGAAAGGCAGGCAGAAGTAAGGTTGTGAGGGGGAACTGGTGTATGTGTCACTTTTTAGGTCCTGGTTGTTAGAGGTTTAAGTTTGCTTTGCTTTACTTTAATTCTTGGCTTTCAGATAAGTAAGGTATAGGACCATGATACATGGCACTTCTGGTTAGTACTACTTGGAATCAATAGCATTTTGGACCAATGAATTTCCCAAGATTTTTCTAGAAGAAGGGGTGGCAGGGAGAGAAATATGCAAGGCTTCCTGAAATGCATTCTCTGCTACTCATCTGTCAGCTCTGCCTTCCTTCTGGGTATCTGTAACTCCTACTAGGGCTGAGGATACTAGTGAGGCTGGATGGAGGTAACTGATGAATTGTGGGGAGCACATCTACCAGCTAGAGACAACATATGGGAGTAGAAGGGAGCATACAACTCTGCACTCTACTCCCAGGTATTCTTCTGCAGTACAGGAGGACTGCAGCAGTGTAAATTATAACTACAGAGTTATGAATGATCTCTGATGGATAAGAACATCCCAAATACAGTTTTAAGAGAAATGAACTGGTTCATTTATCTCAATTGGTGCTCAATTTTCCCTTCTCCCAGTAACACAACAGAAGTTCAGTGCACATAAACCACTTTCAAATGGCTGAAACTGGTTTAAGATAAACCTGGTTGTATGTAGTACCAGACTTAATTGATTTAGGCCAAACCAGCTTATGGAACTTCTGTCACAGACCCCTTCCTGGTTCAAGTTAAATCAGTTCCCCAGCATCCCAGGATGCTTTGCAGCCCTTGGCTGTGCTGTGCTGTCTGCTCCAACAGAGCAAGGTTGGCCCTGCCTCTCTGGTCCCTAGCTGGAGCACTACTACTGCTCAAGCTGGCTGAGAAAGGTGTGGGGGTGGGAAACCCAGCCCTGGACCACAGCCAGGATCTGCCTAACAGGGGTGGAGCAGCCCCTCACAGGATTTTCCCCCACTTGCTGCTGGAGTTCAAGTGGTTGGGGAGCAAAAGCCTGGCAGGGGTTGCCCTCCCACAGGCAAACTCTGGCCAGAGTCTGGGGTCAAGGAGGGCCTCCCTGCCTCAGCATGTGAGTCCCATGCTGGGGTGTGGCCATGCCCCCCGCACTCTGCTGAAGCAGGGAGGGAGGCAGGGGTCTGGCAGGGGCTCCCTCCCCTCATAGGCAAGCCAGGCTCCTGTGTGGCTGGGGGGTGGGGGGGCGGTTAAACCTGCCTGCCCCGCTCAGCCTGCCGGTTTTCACTAACCCACAAAGACTGAATTGATTCAGCCTGTGGCTTTCTGAACGTCTGTACTTAGCTACAAAGTCTACCCAGCTCCTTCTGTAAAATGCCACTTTTCAAAATAATCTCACTTTGCATGTGGATTTTAGAGCATTTTGAAAATTAAAATTAACAGATAAATGGGAGCACCCGCATATTAGGAGCACCTGGTTCAAAGAACCCCAAATCTGTTTCACTTGTTCTTTCCCCACCCTAACGTGGCACTGCAGTATACTAGTGAGTAGAGTGACTACAGTTAAGATTGCACTAGGATTTCCATCTTAACAGGGGTGGAGAAGCACAACACAAATGCAGCCTCCAGGTTAGACTAGCCTTTTAAAATGTTTATTGTAGTATGAGTATTGCTTGATTTTTCTAAGGCATTTTGTCAAGAGAAAAATACAACGAGTTTCCCCAAGACTGTTTTAAAAGGCTGTGTGTCTGGAATTTTAGTGCCTGACTCTTTCTTCAGACCACATGTTACAAGAAACAACAGAATTTTGTTGGATGAAATGGATAGGTGTGATCCAGTGATTTGTATAGGGCAGGAAGAATTATTGTTGGAAGCTGCAATCTGTCTACTATGTTTATTTTTCATAGTAAACAAGTTACTGGTTTGACTGGAGACAATTTTCTGGTATCTTATTAATGCATATTACCTTTAATGCTGGTCTTTGGATTAGGTCTCCCTGCATTCCTGAGGTTAGCAACCCCTTTGAACATACTGATATTTATAGGAACTACAAGTTGCTTCTCTTTGATCCCCCTCAAAGCTGGTCTGCTCTTAAAACAAGATGGCTTCTCTACCACGCAAAACTTCTAGAAAAAGAGCCCCTGCAGAATGCAGGCAAAAAGCATCTGACATGCACTATATACACTTTCAAGAACCTGCCAAGGGTAGAACAAACTTTTTCTTCGGCAGTACTGCTCATGTTCAATAGCCACAGCACAGTACCATGCACCACCCACCAATTAAAGACTAAGGACTGACTATAGCACTCTGGCTTACAGAGCTTCAAGCCTGTTGCGCATGCATAATTTTTCTAGTTTGTCAACTTGGCTCAAATCCATTGTAGATCCAACTTTTACTACGAGCAACTTTTTACATATTGCTTCTCAAAAAAGATAGTAGCACCAGATACCAGCTGAGATTAATTCCCAGAGGGTGACACCAGTTTGGGGCGTACTGCAGCTATAGCTTTATTTCTAGGGGCATATAGAAAAGTAAGAGGAACTGAAAAAATATTGATATGATTTTTTTTTTCCAGGGAGGCTGTATCTTGAGAATGTCTTGCTCAAACAGTACCAGATTTGGATAACTAGCTCTACACTAGATCCTTGTAAGCCATGGCACTTTGCAACACATAGTAAGCATGTGGATTTCATAGCATTAAGAAGTATCAACTGTCAAATAATAAGTTAGGTTTTCAACATTATTTGTAAAACCTCTCAGAAATATCCTCCCTGCAGCCCCCTAAAAAGTTTCACTGGGAATGGCTCTATATCTACAACTGATTTTATTTTTTATCATACCATTTTCACTAGCTTTCAATGAAAAATAAAACAAAACAAAAACTTGTTTCACTTAAAGATTTTGCTTATACATACTGGGAAAAGGTTGAAAATGAAATGTAAGAAATCCATTGACCTGCAACCAAGAACAAACATCGTTACATAAACAAACAAGGTCATATCTAAGAACTACTGCATACTTCAAAAGCTTTATCATTCCCTATTCATCTAGGCACTTGTTCGTACTTACTAAGACATTCCTTCTAGCATGGTGTCAATCAATTGCAGAAGTGTATGCTCTACTTCAGTTGTCAGGTTCTAAAGCAGCACTAAACAACAGCAAACTCCAAGATTTTAGTTTGTAAAAAAACAAAAATAAAAACAAAAAACACCCCTCTTCATTAAGAGGAAGATAGGTGGAAAAAATAAAATAAAATCAGATAAATAAATAAAATCAGATGTTGCTAAATGAAAAGTACCATTTCAGAAATGTTGCCAGAATTGCATTTATTTAGAATAAACCCAATTACTGAGGTTACAAACCTCAGTTGCTGCTATGGATAAAGGTTTTTTTTTCCATGATGCAGCAAAAGAACTATAGTTTCATTGCTATGTATCCAATAGACTCTATCAAAATAATCTGAAAACTGTTCCTGAACATTCTCTTATTTGTAGTTTTACCTACTCTTTTTGAATAATTCCGCTGTACTTTACTTTTCATGGGAGCAGTGAAACACAGTGTTCAAGTTTAACAGGACAATACGGACCTAATAATTTTATTCTTTTTTCCTTATGTGCAAGAATATGACAATTCTATATCCATGAACCAAAGTAATTCAGACATTTTATTCAATATTCTCTCAAAACAAACATCTATTTTAAATATGACCAGTACAGACAGCTGTTTAAGAATATTTATAAAGGCTGGAATCAGCAATAAAGCAAACATCATTCCTATATTTTCAGTACCAATAAAAATGGAAAGAATCATAAGTTTTAGTGGAGGCATTAGTAACTGTCAGGAAAAAAAGAAAAAAATGACACAACAGCAAACAGTGGGGCTTGGATAATGGGCAGCAATTGTTGTACGTAAACCTGTAACAGTATAATTTCCTGTTCTCCAGTGCCCAGTATCTTCTTGGCAACAGGGAGCTCAAGAATGGAGACAGAACTAGAGGAATCTAAAGAGTTATTTAATTACAGTGGATTGGTGGGTTAGCTCATTCATGTTTTTCTTCCAGGGTACTAAGAGTCCACATTCTGCTTCTAGATTTGCAGACATGGAACATCTGAAGACTCTAATGGATAGTACAAAATCTTCACTATCAAATTCCCCTTAAGCCTTAAGAGATAACTCCTCTGTAACTGTTACCTTTCAGCAAATTACCACTCTTGGATCTATGCACCTTCAGGCAGGGTCAGCAGAAACTCATTTAGGATAAAATTCTCAGGTACCAATCCCAGTCAAGGTTATCTCCTGCCATCCCCTCACATACCTATGTTATTCCCCTTGCCATGATGGTCAGTTTCTTTCACAGCAGAAAGTAAACACATACTTAAGTGAAGGAAAAATATATACATCTATAAAGATATGCACACATATACATATTTAGTAAACATACACACATACAAACAACTATTTAAACTTCAAGATTTAACTCTTTGGAGAAGAGAATATGCAAGTTTAATCTTACAATAAAAGTTTTTTAAAAGATAAAGAATGACCTCTACTCCAAAGATATCCATCTTGCAGTCTAAATTGTTCCAGAGATGTCTCGAAAAAAATTAGAGGAGACTGCAATCTGCAGTGTATAGTGATAAGCAAGGTGAACATGCTTTGAACAACAACAACAATGCATAGAGGGGAAAATGTCAAAGAGAAGAATACAAAGGTGAAGAAACAAATTAAAGATACATCCCCTATCAAAACAAAACTGCAAGAGGACAGAGATGTGGACATTCTTAGCTCTAAAATCAGCTTCACCCACAAAGAAAAAAATCCTAACGGTGCTGTAGCAGAATAACTATTTTGGTATAGCTATTCCAGTGTAACTGATCTGCATGGATATGCCATTTCAAAATAAAAGTAATTTTATTTTAGAGCAGTGGGGTCTGCCCTTTTTGGCAAACAACACAAATTAAGCATCATACCCTTTCCAAATGCCACTGCCATCCCATTCCCCTGCTTTATTTGTTGCTCTGCTTTCTGTTCTCTGCGCTGAGCTCCTTGACGATCTGCTACTTTGCTTTCTGCTCCTTGCCTTATGTTACTCTGTTTTTTGCTCCATGTCCTATCTGCCTCTGTGCTGTCTGTCCCCTCCCTCATCTGCTATATAAAAAGGCTACCTATACTATGTTCTTAATTCCTTTATTTTATTTTTTATTTCAGAACAGAATGCCTATGAAGGCAGTTAGTCCAGAACAGCTGCAGCAGGATAACTGTGCTATCAATTTCTCCTTTTGGACAAGCTCAAGTTGTGATTTCTTAATATTGAATCTAAGCAAGATTTCTTGGTAAATCTATATAGGGAAGATAATGTGGCTAATACATACAAAGAAAATTACATAGCTATTCTGCTTGGGAATACAATGGATACTTGCAGATACAGCAAATATCTTTTCAAATATGTTTAACATCAATATTCTTGCTTTTCAAAGTACGTGGCTATAGAATGCATGTTGTGGGACACTGCTCAGCCCTTTCCATACAGGCTCCCTAACTCAGGGGGCATGACACTGGTATTTCTGGTTTACATATAATTTGGTAGTCCATTAGTACTTTTGAAACAAAGCTGCCTTATGGGACACCGAAAGTACCTCATAGTTCTCAGAACAAATAGGATTGCCACCCAGCCAGACAATATACTTTCACCTGCTGTTTTTCAAAAGGAATAAGATTTAGCTGCTCAAAGTTATTTGGGCCTTCTGTACCTATTTAGATGGAAATCAATAGAAATTAAACACCTAAACACCTTTGTGGATCAGGACCCAAATGCCTTGAGTGCCTAACTTCTCTCGGTGGGCTTCTCATTCCACACAAGATTCATCATTGGTTAGTTCAGTTGGTACTGGAGGAATTTTGAAATGTATTCCTAATTACAGTCTGTTCCTGGACTGTCTAGAAGTCACTGAAGCTCAGATATTGTCAGCTGCCCAGGGCCTACAGAGGCTGTCTCATGGAAATGTGCTGCAGGTACTTCAAACTTTGCAATCTGTAACTTCACCTCTGTTGGTTCCTACTGCCTCTGGCAAATTCTCTGTCAGATCCACTATGAAAGAGAGCTTGTTCTGGAGAAAATGCATCTAGGAAAGTTTCTGTATACTATAATCTTCTCTGGAGAATAAAGTGTTTGGATAGTTTACTGTAAGCCTCAAGGCTCATCCACATTAGGAAATGTACTGGCATAACTATCATGGTATAATTATTCCTTGATAGTTATATCAATACAAGTCCCTGTGTGTATGCTCTTGTTATTCTGTTCACCTAGCAAGTTAAACTGATATTATAATGAGATAATTATACTAGTAAATTATCCTCTATAGATAAGCTCCAGTGAATAAAGTACTGTAATAAGCAACTGATCTTTGAAGCCTTCTCAGGGTGGTTTTTTTGAGCAGCAAATCATTAGGATCAGGAGCCTCATATAAAGGAAAGAGGAAAATTCTGTGCTTAAAATATGGTTTATGGTCAGGGGAATAAGTTTAGAACTACATACTCCCCACAATGCACAATGGAATGGCCATGAGATTAGTGTGAGGTCCTGCTAAGGATCTATGGGAGAATACTGCTTATATGTAGAAGTTGAACATTTTATTATTAGTTCCCTGCTCAGTTTCATTCATCAGTAAGAAACCTTGTTCATTTTTGGTTCACTGCTATTCCTGACCTTTGTGTCACACCCTCTATTTTCCTTCCCATTTCTCTGACTTCAAGAGTCTCCTGTACTTCTCTCCCTACAGCAAATCTTTATTTCCATTTTCTTTCTCCATATGTGTGCACTTTATTTCCACTGCTTATCTACATTTACCCACTAATATGATCAGCGATCAAATAATTTTGGCACAGACAGATAGTCACTGGACGATAAGGCTGACACTCCAATCAGATTAAAAGAGGGAGCTTATTCCTCTGGCCTACATTATCAAACTGCCTGTAGACCAAGGTAAACATCAATGGCATGCCCAGTTTACATTTAGAAGAGGCCTATCTACAGTCACCACAGAGAAATTTAGATTTTTTTTAAATAAAAATTTAGATTTGAGAAGATTTCAACAGGATCATAGGGAAGTAGAACTGGAAGGGACCTCACAAGGTCATCTAGTCCAGTCTCTGCTCACGCCAGGATCATTCCTGACTAAACTGGCCAAGTCAATTGTCTGTCCGACCTAGTCTTGAAAACTTCCAAAGAGGGAGATTCCACAGTTTCTTTAGGTAGCCTGTTCCATTGCTTGACCCCATTCATATTCAGAAAGTTCCTTCTAATCTCCAACCTAAATTTCCCCTGCTGAAACTTGAGGCCATGCCTCCTAGTCTTGTCCCCTATGGTCACAAAGAAAGAATATCAATTTCTGTAAGAATGGTGATAAATACTTTCTCCTGATGTCATTATATAAAGAACATTCTAAAGCATAAGGGATAGTGTCTTCCAGCCAGGCAACATCTGTTAGCCCTTGGAATGGAAAGTCTACGTCCAGGCAAAACAGCTATAGGCATCTGTTCGGTCCTGAGTCTAGTCAAGGAGGATCACCATTTATTGTTGAGATCCAGCTGTAAATACCTTCCTCTCCCCCAGTCTAATTTCCAAAGAGTATATAAAGGGGCAATACAAGTAGCCCTGGCCACTGCAAAATCATTCTGGTTGCAAAGAAAAGACCATCTCCATCCCGTCTATAAGTGCTTGTCAGGTATTTGAAGACATCAAATCCTCCCTCAACAATCTGTTCTCCAGACTAAGTAACACCAGAGCTTTCAGCCTTTCCTTGTAAGTTTTGTTTCCAAGACCCTTTATCATTTTTGCTGCTCTGTGCATGACTCTTTTCAAACTGGCCACATCCTTCTTGAAGTTTGGGGCCCCAAACTGGACTCAGTATTCCAAGTGAGGCCTCACAAGTGTCTCTCAATGTGCAAGTGACCCTGTCAATACAACTCAGTATGCTGTTGGCTTTTTTTTTTTTTTTTTTTTGCAACAAAGCATGCTGTTGGCTCATATTCGGATTATGATCTACTATAAGCCCCAGGTCCTTCTCTACAGTACTGCAGCCTGCAATCATTCCCTAGTCATTATTTGTGCATGATGTTATTCTGTCCTAAGTGCAGAACTTGTCCTTGTTTAATCTCAACAGACTGATTGAGGACCATTTCTCTAGTGTATCTAGGTCAATCATGATCCTAGCCCTACCCTTTAGAGAATCTGCAACTCCACCCAACTTGGTGTCATCCACAAATTTGCTAAGCATGCACTCAATCCTACTGTCCAAGTCGTTAATTAAGATATTAAACAGTAACAAAGGACAGACCCCTGGGGAACCCCACTTGATACCTTCTACCAACTAGCATTGAGATATTGATGATTACTCATTGACTATGATGATCCAACCAGTTATGTATCCATTGTACACTACTTTCATTTAGACCAGAGGTTCCCTAACCTTTTCTTATTGTGTACCCCTTTCCAGATTTATCAGCTGCCCATGTACCCCTAACAGCATACATTTTATATTTTAACACCTTAAATGCCAAATCTTATTATAATGAAAATTCAATCCGCCACTACACAATTTCTCCACATAACCCCCAGAGATGTCTTGTATACCCCCAGGGGTAAGCATACCACATTTTGGGAACCCCTGCTCTAGACAGTGTTTCCTTAGCTTGTTAATGAGATTGTCTTAAAAGAGACAAAGTCAAAAGCCAAAGTATGTCAATCCATTACTCTCCCTGATCTGCAGAGCCTGTCATCTTATCACAGAAGGAAATCAATTTGTTTCAGAATGACTTGCTCTTGATCAATCTATACTGGCTGTTCCTTGTCACCTTGTTCTTCTCTAGATGCTTCAAAATAGATTCCTGGAAGACCTGCTCCACGATCTTTCCAGGTATGGAAGTCAGACTGACAGGTCTGTAGCTCCCCAGATCCTCCTCCTTAAGCTTCATGAAGATGGATGTCATATTTGACTTGTTCCAGGCATGTGGGACCTGACCTGGAGGATAGCTAAAGACTACGTAGAGGATCCTGACTGGAGTTCTTAAAGAGGATAGCTACTGGCTCTAAAATTAATCTCAGCTAATTCCTTTAGCATCCTAGCGTGCATCCTATCTGGCCCTACCGACTTGAAAGCATCTAGCTTCTTGAAATAATTCCTAACCTGTTGTACTACTCTAGGCTGTTTGTACTTCCTTACGTTGGTTGTCAACTGCACTCATCATCTGATTGTTGCTCCTATTTGTGAAGACTGAAGTAAAAATGGGATTCAGCCTTAAATACTTTGGGTCATGGGGGCCATACAAAAGCATTGTTCAAGCTGTATCTGTAGTCTATATGTTTGATATCTCTGATCTAAATAAAAAAGGACATTCATCTCATACTTTAAAATAAATGGTCACTGCACCACCCCAATAGGTAATATGTGGTCTCAGCATTGGTGAGACCGCAGCTGGGGTACCACATCCAGCTCTGGGCACCACACTTCAACAAGGACATGGACAAGCTTGAGAGAGTCCAAATAAGAACCAATCATATGATCAGGGTCTTACACGGCAAGCCATATGAGGACAAGCTGAACGATCTGGGACTCTTCAGCCTGGAGAAAAGAAGGCTGAGAGAGGACCTAGTAGCAGCTTACCGCTACACTAGGGGAGTACATCAAGGGCTTGGTGAGCAATTGTTCACCAGGGCACACGATGGGAAACGAGGAGTAATGGCCACTAACTCCTGAAAGATCAATTCAGGCACAACATTAGGAAAAATTCCTTCACAGTCAGGGTGTCCAGACTGTGGAATAAGCTCCCACCAGAGGTGGTGCAATCGCTTACCCTGGAAATCATCAAGAGGAGACTAGACAATCACCTTGCTGGAGTCACCTGACCCCTAGTTATCTTTCCTGCTTGGTGCAGGGGACTGAACCCGATGATCTTCCAAGGTCCCTTCTGGCCTTACAATCTATGAATCTATGTTGTATTGCTGCTGCTATTCTCATAAGAAATTTGAAATACATTCTGTGCTTGAGATGTATCCTTATGTAAATGATGACAAAGTCCTGGGCACATAGTCTCCTATTTTGGGTGGTGTTACTGTATCCAGACACAATTTAGAATTTAATTTTTCTATATGAAATTCAAAGCATCTGAGATCCTGGATAGGCCTGTGCCCTTCTCTTTTTCTTAATATTGAGAAGTATTTACACATAAGAACATGAGGGATGCCATAATGGATCAGACCAGTGTTTCATCTAGCTCAGAATCCTGTATCTCACAGAGACCAAGTGGATGCTAAGGAAATGGGTAATTAAACAGGGCCCATCCAGACTGATCTGCTCTCACCCTTCTTCCTTTACAGCTTCCAGGATTTAGAGACCCAGGAAGTCCAAATTTGGAACTTGCACCTGTTCTGTTGTTTAGTATCCACTGATGGACCTATCCTATGTAAATCTGTCTAAATCTCTTTTGAACCTGATTAAATTGTCAGCTTCTGCATCTTATGGCAATGAATTCCACAAGTTACAACTTCAGACCTTTCCTCTTTTACCTGGTAGCAGGGGGCTCAATAACATTTCTACTCAGAATAATCATTTCTAACATGGCTTTTTCTAATATGGGGATATATTGGTGCATTTCCAAGGAGCTGTGAGAAATACAAAGGAATTTCTTGGAAGTAAATTTGCATCCCTCCTGTACAGCACTAAGGCCTGTAAAGTCTAAGGTAATGAGGTGCTACCTTTCAAGGTTAAAGACACATCCAACCAGGATAGCCCTCTGGGGTAGATACTAATAAGTTGACAGAATACTTGAAAAACCTGGAGAATAAGAATGGAAGCAAGAATATCTATTGTCAGGGCAGTAAAAAAAAAAAGCCCAACTCCCCACTTTCTATTTAACTAGCAACAGTGACAAAAACCTAACATCTGGTACTCTTCATGTTAACCCATGGTTAACTTTTAGAATGAGTGTTCCTTTACTGCAGATATGCAAGGTTTTTTTTTCCCAGAGATTCAATTAGTATTTTCCCAAGAAGGGCAGCTGCTGTTACTGCAGCCTGGTAAACACTATATGGCCCAGGGCATTCCATCAAAGATAACCTTTGGACAATTTCAGGTAGAAGGTAAAAGATTTTTTAAAAATATGAGTGAATGCATACAAGAGGTTAGGTGGAAACTAATTCAAGCTTAATTTTAGTAGAACCTGTCATACCTAAGACCTAATAGAGCGTTACAGTAAGTTGTTACTGAAAACTGAAAACCAAATTCCTATATGTCTGTACTTGCCTTGCTTCATGTTTCTCATCAATACAAAACAGCTGAATGCAGAAGGCAGATACAGCTCCTCTGTACACAGGATGAAAGGCATCTTCCTCATCAGTCTCCAGGGTAGGTATCCCAGTGGTTTTAAAATCTGTGCCTGTGACATCACCTAAGGGCAATTCAGCATTGGAAACAATGTTTGTTCCATCCTTCTGTAGCAAGAAGAGACAAGGGACCCAAATAACATCAGATTTCACTTTTTGTTGAATGAGACTTGTTGCATCATTCTTGTTACATCATTCTATACAGAAAAGAAGGGCTTTTGACAAAGAAAGAAGTTTAAGCAGGACAGGGGGAATGCAGGTTTATAAAACAGTTAATGCCTGTTGTAAAAGGTTTTAAGCACTTTTAAAAGAAACAAATATATTTAGAAACTAATAATTCTCATTAGAATGCCTATATGAGGCAATAATACATATTTAGATTTAGAAAATATTTTAATGTAAAGATTTTGTTCTTATCCATATTAAAAAGACAAATAGAAATCTGTACTGCTATATTTAAATGTTAGAACAATGAAGAGAATATTGTATTAGAAATAAACGACTGTGATACTTGAAGAAAAACAGCACAGTTTTGATACTATACTGAAGAGAAGAATAAAAGAACTATAAATGTTTACAATTTCATGAGGCAAATTCTCTACTAACACACACCCCATCCAAATCAGGGCATGAATCAAATTTGGCATACTATTTGTACAAATTCCATTTCACTAACAGAAATACCATTTTTTTATCTAAGAGTATTTGTACTATATTCACTGCCGCTTCAGGAAAAGAAAAGACTAAGAAAAATTCTCCTTTCAGGCCTGCATCAGGGAGTTAAACTTTAGTTCACTATTTATAATTTGTATTATCATAGTGCCTAGAAGTCCTACTCATGGACCAGAAGGACCACACTATATAAAATGCTGTGGAACAAAAGAGAGACAAAACTCCTGCCCCAGTAGTACTTTCCCTGAGTACCAATGCAAATCCAATGGTCTGCTGCAGGGGCAGCCAAGTCATTTGGCCCTGTGAGTTGGATCTGGGCTGCAAAGCTTCTTGCTAACTGGATGACCCACCTCTGATGGTGACTTGTCAGTGTGGATGCAGGAGCCACTGCAATGACGTGGCTCCAGAACCCGGAGATTAATACCACTGTTGCTTGCTTTGACAGGGGACCGTCTCAAGGCCGGGTACAATATTGGCATGCCCAGGTGTCTAGGACAGTCCCCCCACCTGACTCTCCTGCCACGCCTTTGATGTAATTGAATTGATGTTTCTAGGTGGGTGTGCAGGCCGGGAGCGACCCGAGCCCTTTTCCGCGCTGCACGCGGGCTGTAGCCAGCAGCCCGGGCACGCCGGGTCGGAGAGGGAAGGCCGTCGAGCTGGAATTAGGCACAAACGCGTATCGGTAGTTTTAAAGATTGTTTACTTACACCGAGATGGCAGTGGTGTAGACTGGAAAACTTGCTTGAGTTGCGGTTACAGACAGACAACACAGACGGTCTCGTGGAGG